ACTTCTATCATTTGGATCTCGATTTCCACATTGGCGATAATATAATGTTGCTTTTCGTTTTGTGGAAACATATCCTGGAACGTATAAACTAGGTGCGTCTAATCGCCCTGTTGACATAAGTTTGTTAAAATCGTGTTCTAATTTATTAGCGATTGGACCTAAATACAACATAGACTTATTATTAGACATTTAATAAATTTACACATATTGCAAATATTTTTACTTACCTTTAAAATGCAATAAAAACTGAATACATGCTCCATTATGTAAAATTTTAGTTTTTCTATTATCTATAGATAACATCCAATCTGGAATTCCCATAATTTTTCTTACATCTTCTAAAAACTGTGCCCTGTAGCAAGAAACTTTAAATATTCTTGTATTTAAAAATCATGACAGAAATTGTATTATATATTTACTCACACTACAAAACGAGGTGGTTTTCTTATATTTGTATATTTTACGATATCATGATCTGGTTCGATATTAGCACATGCAAATCTGTTACTTCCAAAATTTTGGTCAAAAATAATAATAGATCTTCCTATTGCAGATACTGACCCTGCTAAAGGAAAATTTGAATCTGTGAAGACTTGTCTTTTTAATCCTATATTAATGGGACCTAATCGACCTGATATATCTCCTACATAACATCTTAGTGGTAGATCAGGACCACATTCTTGTCTGTATAAATCACCCTGCAAAATAATATAACTTTTATTAAAACAGAATATTTTATGTTACAAAAAGTAGAGTTATACAGTTGTAATTAATATTTACATTTAAAGGATCAGCTAATTGAGTAAAGTAAGGATTCCATATATATCCACCAGCTACACATCGAGTATCTTCTACTTTAACAGTTGCATCTACTCCAACGGGATTTACATATATTGCCCAATTGTGATTTCTTGTCTACAATAAATTATTTCCATGTAATTTAAAACTTATTATTATGCATATTTATTAAAATTTAATGTACTCACAATATTACGATCATGTTTTCCAGGATGCCGCAATTTTACTTCAATCACTGTTTCACTTTGACTACCATCTTGATGAATAAGTTGTGTCTGTAATTATTAGTAATGAATCACATTTATATATTTTAATATTTCTTTAAGATTATAATACCATTCTTATGTAACCATATGCAAAGCCTTGTGGATGATGAAAAGAAGCAATAGCTCTTGGTTCTGTAGCTTCAGATGGTGAATATCCTCTTTCTATAGTTGTACAAGCCCATCTTAAAAAATGAGTTATTGTAAGATACATATGTGAATTATTTACATATTTATATCAATATAACTACCTTAAATTCTTTTCTTTTTTATGAATTACAATACTACGACCCAGTATACTTTTTGGTCCAAATAACGAAAGTATTGTATCATTGAAACTTATCATATATTTCTTTCTGTTTTCTAAACTGCCAAATTTTCCACTAAGATCACCCATTTCATATTGATCAATTGTTCCCTCACCAGGACGCGGTGCATTACTTATATTAACTTTCAATGGATTCCAACGTTCATACAAGGATGTACTTTCACATGGAAATTCTAGATCTTGTTCTACTGGTGTCTAAAATATATCAATTTTTATGAGAATACCTAACAGAAATGTTACATTAATTACATTTGTATTACCATGTGTACATGATATCCACTCATTTTTCCATTAAGGCCATCAAGATTTAATTCTCCATTTGTAATATCATATTCTGTTTGTTGTATGAATTCCAATTTTCCTCTTAATGAAATAATTTCTCCATTTCCAAACCAATTTTTTGCTACAGCTTTACGACGATATATTTGATTAATTCTATACAAAAATATTTGTATTTCAGTTATGTTGGTATTACAGCATAGAATTTAGCAATAAATTTTCTTTCTTCCATCAAATTACATTGAACATGCTAATCTTTCTCCTCTTGCGCGAGGTCCTTTATCATCATATATTACTAAACTTTTGCCCAATATATTATTAGGTCCTGATAAAGTTAACATTGTATCTGTGAAGAGTTTTCGAGTTATCAGGGCCCCATAAAGTTTTTTACCAGCAATGTCGATTGTACCATGTCTTGTCAAATCACCTACACGGCATAATACTGAGTTTGACGTTGAACAATATTCAGTAAGATTAGAATTCCATTCTACCTAGTAAATTGAAATGTGCAATATTATAAACAAAAGGATTGTACTATAAATGAAAAATACGCATGATTGGTTTTGTATTATTACTATACTTTGTAAGGATTATAAGGTTCTCCAGTACTTAAACATCTGCCTGTCCAGTTATAGTAATCTTTGCCTGGTGGATTGTCATGAATCATCCATCTAAATATTTTTATTAAAATAAGACTATTTTCACATTTGTTTTTGAATAGTATAGATAATATCATTTTTAGCAAATACTTTGAACTATTATACCTATGATGTGCTGAATTGTTTATGGCATTGCCATCTGCATGAATCAAATTTTCAATTATGATAGTAGTATCCATTTGAGGATCATTTTTCGGTTGACGGAAAATTATTTTTCCAACAATAGGATATCGATACATTACTTGTGCAGATAATATTGGTATTTGTCCAGTATTATCTGGTAAATACAGGTTAAAAGTGCCGCAGATCCATGGTATGGTACTTTTATTATCAGTTTCATTATATCTGGAAAAAAGCATGTAACAGATTTAAATAGTTCTTACCAGTTATTTTGAACTAATTTTATTTAATTATATAAATCAAAGAGTATAAATAAAACAAAAAATTTAAATAAAAAAGTACTTATGAAGAACAAGACTCCGATGGACTACACTGTACATCCCAGAAAGTGGAAGATATACATCCCAATAAATTCCATTAAGTTTAGAACTTCCTGATAAAATATCATAATGATATGATCCTTCTTTACGACCTTGAAGTTTTCCAGATAGATCACCAATAGCATATTGGTCTTGAGTTCCAAATCCTAATTTACATAATTATTTTAATATTTTCTGTTAAACGAACAGAGAACTAAATTAAAATAGTTATCCAAATAATTTACCTGCTGGTGGTACAGACATTACATCAATGTTAGCTGGATTATACATTTCTTTAGTTGTTTTACATATTTCAGTAGTTTCATTTGAAACTTTTATTGGATCTGGAGGAAGTTCATGAATCCTATATGACTTTATTTTAGTAGCATAGCGCAACCTCGTTTCTAAGTCATGAATTGGTGTTAAGGATATATTAATCCATGTGGGATCAAATGGAGTTACTTGCATTAGTGATACTTCTCCTTTAATACCATGAGAATTAATTAAAGTTCTGAATAATTAAAAAATAAAATAAAATCCATTCAAATAAAAGCAGAAAATATTAAAAAACTTATGTAATGCAAATATATTTTTACAAAGCTAAA